ATATCGAACCGTGAGACTAAAATATCGAACTGAACCGAACCGTGAATTTCCTGTATCGTTGCACCCCTAACTTCTAAATGGTTTAAACTTTAATATTTCTAGTTGAGTCTGAGTTGTCATTTTTGCACTTTCACAGCCGCAGAGCTGCTCTCTGACCTTGAGGGAGCGTTTCAGGAGAAAATTGATGCTGCCTACTTCGACACCAGCAAATACCTGCTGGATGTTCTGAACCGAAACTACCTGCTGCTGGAGCACCTGCAGGCCATGAGACGATACCTGCTGCTGGGCCAAGGAGACTTCATCAGACACCTCATGGACCTGCTGAAGTTAGCACATTGTSTCCTGCTTTCAAACAAATCAAAATCTAGGACAGGAAGCTTTGAGTTTGATTGTGTTTGTTTGTTTGTTTGTTTTGTTTTGTAACAGACCTGAGCTGGCCCGTCCTGCTACAACATTATATCAACACAACCTTACTGGGATCTTGGAGACCGCAGTCAGGGCCACCAACGCTCAGTTTGACAATGCAGAGATCCTGAAGAGGCTGGACGTACGGCTGCTGGAGGTAGCATCATCCTCTGCATATTATTCCATCAAAACATGGCAAACTCATAAGTATTAGTTCTTTTAACCCCCCACACACTCACACACACTTGGCTGCAGGTGTCTCCTGGTGATACGGGCTGGGATGTTTTCAGTCTCGATTACCACGTCGACGGACCCATCGCAACGGTAACACTTCGTAAACCAAACCATTTATCGTGTGTGTGTGAAAACGTGTTAATAATATCCCATTTGTGACGTGCGTCAGGTGTTTACAAGAGAGTGTATGGGCCACTACCTCCGCGTCTTTAACTTCCTGTGGAGGGCCAAGAGGATGGAGTATACACTGACTGACATCTGGAAGGGACAGATGTGTAACGCCAAGCTGCTGAAAACCATGCCTGGTACACAAACACATCCACACACTGTGTACTCTCTGCTTCTCATGTTTGGTGTTTGAATATTACAGCAGGTAAAAATTAAAAAATAAAGTGACCTCTTACTAGTTGTGACTTTAGACATTTGGTTTTTGAAAGATTTTCTCTCYGCAGGCAGATGATGGAGAAATGTAGCATTGGTTGAAAATCTGAGTTCATTTATGGTGTTTTTAACAAACCTAATGATCAAGGTTTGTCGTTATTGGTTTGGTTACAACTAAGTTGGGCTGTTTGCAAACATGCACCAGTCCCTTTTGTTTGGATTTGACTAGGAGTGTACTCAGTAGGGAAATCCATTTATCTATTTTCATAACTTGGTTCTCCTTTCCCAATCATGGGGAGCTGTTGTCTGTCTACCATCAGTGTGCAAGAGGTAGTGTCCAACCCAACTAACTCACAACTAGGAACAATTTAGAATTACCAGTTAGCCTAACATTCACGTTTTTGTTTATATATATATGTTCGGGTTTTTTAACCTAGGAACTCAGAGAAACACAGCAAAACCCGGCCGAACATTAAATCAATGACAACAGAAG